CCACTTTATTATCGCTTTCTGGCCCACGTGTGATAACGTCCAATGTCTTTGCTAGGTGGCAAAATGCACAGAGGAGAGGGAACACACCAGTTATTAGCAATGTGCTTAGTTGTAGCGTGCATGCATATGTACCTGGGCCCGTATGTGTTTATGTTTGTTCATTGCAAGGATCCTTGGAAACTGAGGACACTAGATGAAATCCTACGTTGTGCTTCCATAGTATAAACATAGTATAAACCTACACTCACATCTGAGTGCATCTGAAGAAGTAGACTGCAGCCTACGAACGCTCATGCTGCCAATTTCTTTCTTTTAGTCTCAAAGGTGCTACGAGAGCTCTCTATGTACTGATTCGACAGACTAACATGGCTATATCTTTGAATTCTACACTCACATGTACTGAGTACAACCCCCAGCATTTATATAGGGCTGCTGGGAATTGCAAGACTCAGAGTGGCGTTGTGGTTTGAGTATTGGACCATGACTCTAGGGACCAGGGCTTCCTGGCTTCCCCTTGATGGTTTGCATTTGTTTGATAGTATTATTATTATTATTATTAGTACAGGTCCCCAGACCCATGCTGTGTCACCAAGTTCCTTGTCCAACCTTGATATGTTTGAACTGTTTTATGATTCTTCTGATGTTGCATGGCAGTTGTAAAGATGATGCCTCTAATTCCTGATATTCACTTAATGACAGACCCATGGTTGCTGCGGGCCCTTCCCTTTGACAAGTTACAGTTTGCAGGAGTTACTAGCTTGGAAAGGATAACTGTAGCGCACAACTAAAACAGCATCATTTCAAAGCTCCGGGTCAATGTCGCTGCCTGCCAAGTGGACTCTTTCTCTTCCCATCCCAATAACTCTTTCTTTAAAGTGGTACAGGCATCGAAAAGAGAAAGATAAATGCACTCCTTTTGGATATGGATCCATCCCAGGAGAATCACTGGAAGCGGCTTAGACTTTGACAGTGATGGGGAAAACAACCAAACAGAAAAACTAATGCTCATCACTGAAAATGACCCGCATGAAAAAGCCCAAAGCCATTCCCTGAGAAGTCTACTGTGAAGCATCACATCTCCAGTTCGGGATATTTCGGGAGCATTTAAAGCCCTTGGGTGCTTGTCCGCCTTCCCTCGGCTGCAATGAACATTTATCATTTGTTGCTGGGGATCTGGCTGCCAGAGAACTGTAAAGACAATATTTCCTGCAATGTGTCAAAAAATTATATATACCATAATGTAACAGCTGTGGCTGCTGTGCTCTTTCCCCCCATCTCCCTCTTTCTGTTTTTGTTCTCTTGCAGGAAAATGATGCTGACATCAACCATTTAATTAAAAAGCAAAATAATGACAGATAGATAGATAGATAGATAGATAGATAGATAGATAGATGATAGATAGATAGATAGATAGATAGATAGATAGAAGTAGATGGATGATAGATAGATAGATAGATAGATAGATAGATAGATAGATAGATAGATAGATAGATAGATAGATAGATAGATAGAGGTATATGGATGATAGATAGATAAATAGAGAGAGAGAGAGAGAGAGAGAGAGAGGTGGATGGATGATAGATAGATGATAGATAGATAGATAGATAGATCAGAGAGTACTTTGTCAGAAAATGGGACTTTGGGAGGGGAAAGAAAACCAAGGACTGACCCACAAACACAATACCAAACTGCACTGCAGCAGTTTCCAACTAGTATAGCATTGGAAGCGCTGCAACAATTCTGCTCACAAAAGCCTATAAATGGCAGGAGTCATAACTTTGCTAATATCTCTGACCGAATGGGGTCTGACTGAAAAGTACTGATGGTCATAGATTCAGATACGAATCCTACATGTTTATTGTTGTTGTTGTTGTTGTTGTTAATTTCCATCACGTCAGTTTTCACTTATGGTGACCCTAGGATTAAGAGATCTCCAAGACTCCAAAAGTCTTTGGTTAACTTTAATTTTAGAAAGAATGGGTCACATTTGTCCATTTTTCTGAGGTTCCGATGGGGGACTTTGATCTGTTTTAGGTTTCATAAGATAACGTAGAAAGAATAGTAATGTGCTTGTAGTAGAAGTGTAACTTGGATATGGTGTTTTCGAAGTTTCATATAGTTTCAGTTAAAGGTTTTCAGTTGAGGGAACGGTATTCACTGGAGGTTTGGTTCTAGGACCCCTGTGGATATCAAAATCCGCGGATCTTCAAGTCCCATTGTATACAATGGCATAATAAAATGGTGACCCTTATGTAAAATGGCAAAATCAAGGTTTGCTTTTTGGAATTTATATATATATTTAATATTTTCAAGCCACGGATGGTTGAATCTGTAGATAGTTGGGGCTGTACATAAAGAATCCGTGGACAAGAAGGTCCAATTGTAAGTATATATAGGGACCTTTGTATTTGTTCCCCCGATGAGAGCAACAGCCAAGATATTTTCTTCTTGTGTCAAAGGCATTCTGAAATTCTTCTCCAGCTACAATAGATTCTATTGTGCCTGTTCTTTTGAAATATTTGTACAGCTGACATTCATACCAGTCGGAGACAAAACCTGGTGGGAAATGCTGAAAAACAAAAGCAACCACCCCGAAATGTCAGCTGTGCCAAAGGAAAGCAAATAAACCCTCTGGAGAATCCTTTGGCGGCTTGGATTTAATTCTTTGGCTTTTGTCGGCAGGCACCCACAGTGCGGTGGACAGGGTTCGGGATGTCTAAACAAGGAGCACTTAAAAAAAGAAAAAGCCAAGCAAACACAAAGCCTGTTTTCCTTTTTGCTCGTCCCCTGTGTCAACGACAACTTCTCCACGGGAACCAGAACAAAGTCCTTCTTTATTATACAGCAAAGACTCCTTTCTGAATCTGCCTTAGCTCACCAGTTGATCAGACTTTCCGATGGCAGACAGGACACGCCATGGTCCACCCCAACTGATGCCTCCTCAAATTTGTGGCAGCCCAAATTGGGTTGTTGTTGTTGTTGTTGTTGTTGTTGTTGCTGTTGTGTGCCTTCAAGTAATTTCCATCTACTTTTCCATGTGGTCATCCAACTGCTGGGATTCCAGTTGGCCCTCCACATTTGCGGCTTTGGCTTTTGCGGATCTGATTATTTGCGCTTTCGATTAATATGTCCTCTCTAGGAACCTCCAGGGCAATTCTGCTGGAAGTTGACCATTAAGTTGTGCTGGAGAACCTAGAAGTTCCTAGAGAAAACATGTCTTTAGGCATCTGTAGGTCCTCCTACATGATTCTATGATCAACATCTGGCAGATGTTGGCCATAGAGTTGCACTGGAGGACCTGGAGATTCCTAGGAGCTTATCGCATTCATTTTAAAACTGGCTTACCTGATCCGGTTTAAAATTTAAAGCGGGTGGCATCCTGACATTATCAGAAGGATTAAGCCACTGAAATCACTACCTGGGTCCATTCCCATTCCCAGGGCCGCTCTGGCAGCCATTTTCTTAAGCCGGAAAACTCGCGGCTTTGAAAAGAGGTGTGCTGAGCACCCGGATGGACCCCGGTGACAATTTCGGTGGCTAAATCCTTGTGATAATACCCAACTGCTGCCTGCTTTAAATTTTAAACCAGATCAAGTAAGGTGGTTTTAAAATGAATGTGATAAGCTTCCTAGAGAGGTATTCTCTTAGGTGAAAAGAATCGTGTTTTTTATTTGCGGTTTCCCCACATTCATGGGGGTCCTTCACCCCTAACCTCAGCAAATGTGGAGGGACCACTGTATATATTTAGACTAGAGTCTTTGCTTTGGAAACAGTTCCACCTTTTGGCATTTACTTATCAAGAAGAAAGTCAAATCTGTTATAAAGAGAATTATAGGTAGCTCCTCTTTTATTGAGCTTGCTTACAAAGGTCAATAGGACAGTTTTTGGAATTATGCCTTTCTACCCCTAGTTGAGGCAAGGCGAGGCAGGGAATCGAAAACAAGAGTGTGTTGTTATTGTTGTTATGTGCCTTCAAATCATTTCCGATTTATGGCGATCCCGTCACAGACTTTTCTTCTCAAGATTTCTTTAGAGATGGTTTGCCTCTGCGTTCCCCAGAGGATGAGAGAGTGTGACTTGCTCAAGGTTATCCAGTGGGTGTCATGGCTAAGCAGGAAATCGAACCCTGGTCTCCAGAGTCATAGTCCAACACGCGAACCACTACACCACGTTCGCCCCATAGTGATTCTGAGAGCAATGTGTTGGATTCCTTCCTGCCAGTGTTTATTTGCCCAACATGTCAATTATTGCAAATCATGGCATTGGATTTTGGTTTAGTCTCTCCAACACCAGACGCGGCAGAGGAACGGATGTGTTGGTGACTAATGCCTCTGCTGTACTATTCTACTGGCTTCAGTCCTTGGCTTTAATGCTACTGTCTTTATTTCAAGTCCCTGGCTTTGAAGAATCAAGATAATTCACAAACAACAGCTCTCTCTTTGTGCGTTCCAGGCAGGAGGGAAAGTCTTGCCGGGGTCAGCTGGATTTTGCAGGCAGACGGTAGAGACACATGAAATATATTTCCCCAGCAGCCAGGAGATAAAGGAGATAAATGATTACAGATAGTGAGATATTAAAAAAACAACACACAACCAAACACAACAATAACGCCATGTCATCTTCTGGATTTAAGTGCGCAGCTTTGAACAATTTCAAAATTGGAATAGCATGCGGGCCGACAAGGGAGAAATTGTATTTTGCTTAAATATGGTCCAACACAGCAGTGTCCCTCCCGATTCCACTCTTATTTATTCATTTCCTACCCTTAAGGTGGCTTGCAAATGATTAAAATCAGTTAAAGAAAACCATACAAAGGGATTTTGTAGCACCTTTGAGAGAAAGACGTTGATAGCATCAACGTTTGTAGACCAAGGCCGCGTCTGCACTGCAGAAATAATCCCATTTCACGCCACTTTAACTGCCATGGCTCAATGCTATGGAACTTGGAAATGTAGTTTGTTGAGGCACCTGAGCTCTCTGACAGAGAAGGATATATGCTATGAAATAGGGGAGGTCAAAAGAGCTTTAAAACAGTTGTTCATAGCCGTGTTGCAATTCCCAACGCAGATCACAATGAGAGCCCCCTGAAAAATGCAAAATAAAATGCTTCTATTCCAGCTAAGGCAATCTTTTCCAAGGTGGAGCAATTATTATAGGATGGTTTCTTAACAGGCAGTTGAAGGCAAGGATCAATATAGGAGGAGTTCTAATTCATTCGATCGAGTCGACTGGGTTTTATTCTTCTGGCTGGATAAACCCTTTTATTACTTAAGCAGATTTATAACCATGAGGATTGCAATGGAGTAAACCTCAGGGTGCCTTTCCAGGGAAGGGGCATTTGGGAACACACCATTTCAAATGCCCACTAATGATGAATACTCATATAGTATTTATTGGCATAACAACAAAGACGGTTCTTGGGGACAGCTCCAAACGAAGAGCTCCATGAACACAGCAGTGCATTTCCGCTAGTCCCCCCGAGGCAAAAGCGATCCTTCCAGGAGCAGAAAAATTCATAGGGGAAAAATATACATATCTGGCAGCAGGTTTGCACAACTGGAGGGAAACAATAACACCATTTAGAGTGATTCTCGGTCCTGATGAAGGGGGAAATCACATTTAATTGTCAATGAAAATGGCTCTCTCCTCTCTCAGCCATGAATGTTGGACCTGTCTCTTTGCTTCTTGCTTTGCATTCTCTGTTCAGGTTGCCATGACACTACTGTTAGAAACTCTGCTCCTAAATCCCATGGCCATCCATAATGGATTGCAGCGGATCCTTCCTGTCTTCTAGTTTGGGTATCTCTGGACTGTTTGGGCTGGCTCCTTAGGCGTCACTAGCGGGATCATAGAATCATAGAATCATGGAATCATAGAATGATAGAGCTTCCAAAACTAGTTTGCATTTTTTTTTTTTTTGGATTGACCTAACAAAGGTATCATCGCAATGTATACTTTGGGTTCCCGTACTTGCAATCTATAGTACAGGTATAGTATGGTATCAGGATATCCACTGACAGTGGTCAGGGATAACAACAACAACAACAACAACAACAACAACAACAACAACAACAACAACAACAACTATTATTATTATTATTATTATTATTATTGTTGTTGTTGTTATTATTATTATTATTATTATTATTATTATTATTATTATTATTATTATTTCTAGCCCACCTATTTCCAAAGGGAATCAAAGCAGGTTACAAGCGTAAAATAAAAGAATGCAATAAGAAAACAATAAAATAGAAGTTGCATAAGGACAGGTTTAACAGTGGGCAAGAATGGCAAGGGCAAGAATGGCCGATTCTGTCTTTCTGTTCCTTTTCTCTCTCCCCAACTCCTTTTCCTCTCTTGTCGTCCTCTCCTTGGGGATGATCCAACTCATGTGGCGATGGACACACGTCATCTTCACATCCTGCCTGGCTGCATCTCTATCATGCCTATGATGGTTGGCCCATGAGTTATTGGAGAGGCCCTGATAACTCATCTCCGCACAGATGGCATTTCAATATCCGTGAGATGCTCCGAGGCTGACCAGGATAATGGGCATGGGGATATTTATTAGCACTTCGATTTGCATCCAGACAGTTTCCCAAAATATTCCTGGAGGTTACAGCAAATGATTCACCATAATGAGTCACTGGCAGCATTTACGTTGGTTTGTCAGGAAGCTGCCGCTCGGTGATGCGAGGGGTAATATCACTCGTCCAAATGTTCGTCTTGTTGCTTGTTCATCCCACGAGGATCTTGAAATGTCTGCAAGCTTGTCATCCACAAGATGGGATCTCCCCAGAAAAGCAATATTCGCTCCGTGCCAAATTTCAGAGGTTGAGCTCAATCTGAAAATATCTCTTTCTTGCAAATCCCAAGCTGGAATTGTTTCTTAAGTGGTTTCAATTCCATCTTCTCTTAAACAGTTTTTGTAAAAAATGAATAAAATATTGTTTTCTCTCTGCTGCACTATTGCCAATAACCCTTTTTGCTAGCAGGGGAGTCACTGGGGTGCAAGGGAGCAGACTGCACAAGGTGACACCCAAGAAGGATTTGTAGTTTCTTGTGGCACCAGGGGTCTTTGATAGGGAAGGCTAAATAGCACACAGAATTACAAATCCCAAGATTCCATACCAATGAGCCATGGTAGTTAGAGTGAAGTCAAACTGCATTAATTCTGCAGCGCAGATGTTGCCGCACTGCAAGAAACAATGCAGATTGACACCTCTTTAGCAGTCATGTCTCCATGCTATGAAATCCTGGGATTTGTAGTTGGTTGTGACACCAGAGCTCTCTGACAGAGGTGGCTAAAGAGCTCACAAAACTACAAATCCCCAAATTCTATAGCTTTGCTCCGTGGCAGTTAAAGCAGTGTCAAACTTCATTAGTCCTTGAGCGTAGATGCAGACTGCGTTGTCAGGGCCTAGCATCTGTGCCAGAATTCAGACAAGTTACTCCAAACTGGTAACTTTTCAAACCTCAGGTCTGTGCAACATCACCATCATCTCACGGTGTGCTGCTCTTACAATGACCAAGTCACCCTGACTTCTACAAATGCTTTCTAATGGCACAGTCCTTTCGGCGAGACTGTTAACAACCGATGTCATTCTTAACTTCCACAAAGACGGTCCATTAGAGACAAATTTGAATCCTTTTGCAAGCATTGCAGATACTGTTTTGTGTGTGTGGGAGGATTTTAAAAAAGAAATTCATACAGCAGCCACTTGAAAAATCCAAGTACTCATTGGAACATTCTAATACGCCGGGCTTTTCATAAATGGGTTGCCTTGATAACTCAGTTGGTGAACCACTTACCACTCGAAAATTGCTAGCTTGTGTCATTACAGGGGTCTGCGTTTTGCCCTAATAAGACTTCATGAACAACCAG